GAGGGCGGCCCCCTCGGGTTAAGGTCTGGTGGATGATGGCTGGGACTCTAAGTGCAGGCTGGGATCCAGGGACTGAGAGTGGCCTTCCAGCCTGAGCAGGAAGGTTCTGGGCTGATGAGCAGTCTGCTTGGTACTGAGAGGGGACTGAGGGAGCTCACCAGGAGTCCAGACACAGGCCCCTCAAAGTGGTGGTGGGCAGTTAGTTGCTCAAGGGCTGGAGGTCTCATGGAGAAAGTGCGTGGAAACTCCTGTCCCTAGCCAGATTCTAACCTCTGGGGAGGGTATTTGCCCCAGGAGTCAGTAGGGAGAAGGTGGGGAGAAGGGAGTGGGGCACGGTTGTGGGGTGGGGGACGGTCATTAACAGAGCTCAGGGATTCCAGTAACTTACCTTCTTCAGCAGGGAGCTCTATCCAGGGGAAAAAAAAGAAGAAAAGGACATATTCATTTGGGGTTCAGTCTAATGTCCCCTACATCCAGGATTCTGGCTAAGGTAAGAGAACTGGGCCACCAAAAGGGCATCTGAGGTTCACCAAGGTCATCCCATAAATCCTCCCAAAACTCTAGTCTCAGGGACCCTGTCTTGTTAGTCTCCTCTTACCCCCTGAAGTCACTGGACCATGGCCCAGCTCTTCCCTAAGGTACTCTGGAGGGAGAGACTCCAGTGTGTTTAAGTGTGTGAGTGTGTGTATGTGTCTGTGTTGTGGGGGGGGGACAGGAGGGCGTTACTAGCCTCTCCTCCGAGGGACACTTACCATTGGGGCCGTATTTCTCCAGATGCCGCTTCACTTGGTCCGGGCTAAGGCCTGTAGTCTCGCTCACCCCAAAATAGGCCAAACATTCTTCTGTGGTCTTGGAGTGTGCAGCCTCCATTGTGCTCCCTTCCTGGGGCCCAGTGGGCGGTGTGCACCTTCTGGGGGTGTTCTCAAGCTTCGGGGGCCTTCCTCGGTGTCCACCTGCCTATTTGTCTGGGGTTTTTGCTTTTTCTCTCCTGCCCCCCCCCACGTTTCTCTTCCTTCCACGAAGCTCTGACCCCCGTCCCACTTGCAGCAGCTGGCCACCCCCCCAACCCCCAGCTGGTCCTTATGAGGGAGTAGGGGGGGCCGGGCTCTCCCCCCCCCCCCAGATCAGGGATTGGCTGGCTAAGACTCTGGCAGGAGGGGTCAGAAGAAAGATATTTCTGCTGACAGAGGGGGAACAGTGGGGCTGCAGCCTGAGATGTCACTCATGAGGGAAGCTAAGGTGGCCCCAGCCCCAGGGAAGGGGGGGGCAGGGAGAGACTTCACTGTCTGTGTTTTGCTGACCCCTCCCTCAGTTGCCTGGACTTCCTCAGTTGTACCGAATTTCCTGTTCCAAAGTCCTCCCTGCAGTTCTTCCCCTCCTACTCCGGGGCCTCCACCTTTCTCCTTCCCTGACTCCCTCCTCTCCCACCCAACCTCTTTCTATTGCCACGGTCTCCTTCCTCACCCAGTTTGCTGAAAGGGCGGCAGATACTCCAACCTTCAGGGAATGGGAGAGGGGGACAACATCCTTTGGGGCCAAAGGAAATGGCTCTAGAGGGACAAGGGGAAATAGGGAGGGGAGAGGGTCAAGGGGACAGGGCAGAAGACGGTAACCCTACCCTCGGGAGGGGTTGCTGCAGCCATCAACAAGGGATTTAGTGTCCAAGCCCTGGTGAGCAAAGCCAGGACTGCCTGTCTCTCCCCCAAACTCCCCCCTCTCCATCGCTCTAACTCGGCCTCTGGAAATGTAGCCTTTGGGGGGCCTACCCATCCCTGGCAGGGAATCCCCTCCCCAAGAAAATAGGATACCCAGGCAGTCAGGTAATCCAAGAGGCTACAGAATGTGCTGATGATGGAGGGGGAGGGATCAATGTTTCAGGATGGGGGCAGTCACCCCAAGTCCTGGAATGAGGGTCCCCCATTCCACACTGTGTTCTTTAACTCAAGGGGTTAAAACATGGCAGATCCTAGAAGGTATGTAGTCCACACTCTGCCCTGGCCCTGAACTCTTCTCCTCCAGGGGAGCGAGGCTCAGAGGCTGCATGCTCAGGTGTTGGGCATATCCCACAGGAAGAAGCGTGAGGGAAGGAGGGGTGTCGAGGAAAGGGGGCTGGGAAGCTGGATAGAGCAGAGGCTCCAGACCAAAGGAATGGGGAGGGGGCAGATTGATGGGGACAGGTCTAGGGGGAAATAAGGACAGAACAGAGCTGGGGAGACAGAGACGGGGCCGCCAGTGTCAGAGGGAAGTCTGAGGAGCAATGGGGAAAAGGGACAGCAGGGAGCCGGCCTGCAGCAGCCAGGTGGGTGGGGGCCCAGGGCTGGGTGCAAAGCCACGAGTTGTTGCTGAGCGGCTGGCCCTGGTGTCAGCTTCCTTGTCGAAGCAGCTGCTCCGAGCCCCGAGCCCCCCACCCCCACCCCTGCTCCTAGATGGGGGCGTCTTTTGGTTGCTACCAGGGCAGCTGCTGGAGGAGCAGACAGAGGGTGGCCTGGGCTGTGGGGCAGGGGAGGGAAGGAGGGTAGAGAGAGGAGAGAGTTTTGGTGAGAGTTAATAGTGGAAGGTCAGGGAGGGGAAGAGGGAGCCTCAAGTCCTTCCTGCGTCTAGGCCTTCAGCTTCCGAAATGGACAGAGTATGGGCCACTGAGAGGGTTCTCTGGGCTGCTTCCCCCACTGGTGCTCAGGTTCCTAAGCAGATGATGACAGGGGAGACAGCGAGAGAAGGAAGGGGAAGCCTCACTTTTGGCTAGCAGGCAGGCCAGGCCCACAGGGGGTGGATGGCACTTAAGGATTTAGCCCCCCCATAATTGTTCCCTCCTCTGCCTGGACTTGGGGGGGGAGGGGAGCTTCTGGGGTGAGTTGAGGACATGGTGCTCCATCCCTCCTCCTTTTCATGGTTCCCAGGAATCCCTCCCTTGAGCTGTGACCTGAGGGGAGGGGCTCAGACAATGGGGGTCATGTCCACAGGCACCTCCATGTGGCCCAGCACCCACCTTCTTAGGCCAGAGTCAGACTCAGCATCTGCCAAGCCTTTTGGTGCTCCCTGCCTTCTCCCTGCCACCACCTGGAGGATTGACAGGGGCACTGAAAGGAGCAGGAATGCCCAAACATGGACAAGGGGGAGAAGACTGGAGGGATCCAGGCTTCAGGGGAGCTGAGAGCAGGAGGCAGGCTTTACAGGATGCTGCTGCCAGGGGGGGCCCTTTAAGGTGACCCCTCCCACCTCCCCCAACTTCCCAGCGGGGAAGCTGAAGCCAGAGAGGGACAGCCACCCCACAAGACCTGCAGAAGGCTGGCCACCAGGGAGGCTGAGGGTGTGGACTGGGATGGAGGAAGGCACTGGTTCTCTTGGATCCCTCCCCGGGGGTCTTCAAGCCCACAGTTGGAAGGTGTTCCTCCCTTCCTAGGAGGGCTGAAGCTAGGAATAGAAGCCTGGTTCTGAAGGATGGGGACACAGAGCCTGGCTGGACCTGATGGGTCCCAAACTTCAGCTCAACCATCCTTAAAGAGAGGCTTAGAAGGAAACAGTCTCTTAGGCTTCTCTGGCCAAGACATGCAAATCTTGGGGTGGGGGGGTGCTCCTCAGTCCCCTCCCCCCCACTTCAGAAGTCAAGTCCCTGAAGCTTGCAGGGTTTAGGGGGAAGGGGAGCCTCACAGCACCAGTTGCTGCTAGATTAGGAGGGGATCAGGTCCTGCTTACCCTGGGGTGCCACAGCCTTCACTCACCACCTCCTTTTCCAGAACGCAGCACCCAGCTCCCCAAACCATCCCCTCCTTTGCAAGGCCAATTCTATCCCCAGTCTCCTGAGATCATGGTTTGAGGGAGCCCCGGGGATTAGACAAAACTGGGAGAGCCAGCAGGCTTCCCCCAGCTAGCCCCCAGCCTGGGTGGCCTGTGAGCCCAGCTGTCTCCTGTCCATCTCCCAACAGGACGCAAGGCCCAGAATAGCAAGGTCATAAGCGTGGCTAGGGCCTCCTGGAGGTGGGGACAGTGGCTGAGGGGCTTGAGAATATAGGCTCCACGCTGCACAGGAAGGAAACTGAGAGGCAGCAGTGGGTGGAGGTTAGAAAGGGGGAGGGTCAAGGGAAAAGGGATCCTTTAGAACCTGGCCCTTCCTTGTGGGCACCCACCACCTGTAGAGCTGGGAAACCCAAGGGTGCCCTCCGTTGGAAGAGGGCATGGCTGCAGGTCAGTTCAGAGAGCGGAGCCGGGGCTGAACGGGGCTGCTGCAAAGAGGGAGAGATGTTGCAAACTCATTCCCACGGGGCTGGGAAGGTCATGTGAGTGCAGTGGGCCAGTGGGGATGGAGCAGATGTGGAATGTGGAAGGCAGAGCGCGTGAGGCTGGATCTTTGGGTTTTCAGGAGAAGCCGGTCATCTGAACTTCTGTGTGAAATCCCAATGGAAACACTATCCAGGCCAAGCAAATCATGTATGCAGTGCCAACCCAGATAAAACTTCCCACTTGACAGATGAGGACAACTGAGGCCTAGAGAGGCTAATACCTTGCTGAGGCCAAACAGCAAAGCAGAGGAAAAGCCAGGCATGGAAGCCAGCATCCTCCGTTATCTACCTTCCAGCTTCCCAGCTTGGCCCCAAGAAGGGGGGCAGCCAGACTGCCCTAGGGCCCCTCTGCAGTCAGGCTCTGTGGCCGCTGCATTCAATCTCTCCCAATACAGCCACTGCGCCCCAGCCCTGGCCCCACAGTCTCTCTCTGCCTGCTTTCTGCCTAAAGTAGGAAGCCTTCACTGAAGAATTCCGAGCAGGAAGGGGCCTCAGACGTGGTCCATCCTGCTGCTCACTGCTCTGTCCCATTAAGAGAACTTGGCTGGAGACCCTGGGAAGCACTGTTCGTTCCGCTCTGCACTTACCGCTCAACCAACAGCACAGCCCGCAGGAGAGCCGCGAACTGAGAGCACAGCGCTGGAGGGCAACAGGGATTTGACCTGACACAGCCTTCCAGCCTCTCCGCTCCGGACCAGGCAACACTGAGTGGGCTGCCTTCCTGACCCGCCTGTCCCAGCCCCCACTGCAGACACTGGCCACAGCCATCGCGATGGAACTGAGATAAACCCTTTTATTTATTTATGCTTCTCCATTTTGTTTAAAACAACAACAACAACCACCTTAAAGTAACTGACAGCCCTTCCCCCTCACCCTTCTTCGGGCTGGGGGGTGGTTAGTGGGGAAATGGCCCCCAGGGGTGGGGCTGACCATAAGAGCCCCTCAGGGAGGTAATGGAGCCCAAATCCCCTGCCCAGGGGATGGGGCACCTGTAGTGTATGAACTGGGGAGTTAACAGGGCTCTCGAACCTCTTCTTGTACCAATGCAGATGCCCTTGGCCGTCAAGGGTCAGGAAGCACGTGGGGAGGGGATTCCTACCGCTCCTCTACGTCCCCACCCAGCGCCATCTCACCAACTAAGAGCTGGGGAGCAAGAAGAGTGGAGAAAGAGCGGGGTAGGGTGTCTCACACGAAGGAGTACTGGTTATTAATGGCTCTGGGATGGCCCCCTTCTTCTCCGTCGCCCCCTAGTGGTAACTGTTGGAGTTGCACCATCGGGGTGGCCCCCTGGTCCCCACCAGATCCAGCGCCTCCCTGGGCCTCTGTGCCTGGTGCTACGGCCTCTTCCAATTCAACCACGGGGACCAGCTCAACCACGGGGACCAGCTCTTCCTGGACCCCTCCACTGCCCGCTTTCTCTTTCTCTTGCCTCTCTTTGGCTGCTGCGGCTGCTGCTGCCGCCACTTCTGGCGCCCCCGACGCCTCTTCTGCCCCAGGATGTGGGGGATCTGTCCATGAAGGGGGTTCAGGGGGCTGGGGTGGGTCATGGGAGGTGTTCGGTTCTGGAGATAGGAATGGTAAGAAGACAGACTGTGGAGGGAGGCCAGCTCTTGCAATTGGCCTCCCCTGCACTTGTCCCCCCAGGAGCCATGTGCTATCTCCCCCACATCCCGTCTCCTGAGCAACCCCCCCAAGTCCATGGAAGATGGATCATGGGCGGCGGTGAGAGGAGGACCACACTTACACACAGTCACTCGCTCCGAAGGGCATGAGGGTGGAGGAGGCATCGGGGTAGCATCGATCTCCCTCGCACACCCCTGCATGGCTCCCGGCCTGCTCCCGGCCTGGGGGGGGGGGGGGGGCAACGTGGGGACAGATGGGACGTTGGGGTGGGGAAAAGGGAGAGATCAGACAGGGACATCAGACGTCAAGGGAGGAGGGGGGTGGGGGATCAAACCAAGCATCCCCAAGAAGGACAGGCCCAAGGCAAGACTGCGACAAAGGGCAAAGACAAGGCCGAGGAAGATGAATCCAGGAGACACACGAGTGATGGAACACAGGGGTCCGATGGAATGGCAATGCACCAACCCAACTTCCTCCCGGCTCCAGCACGGAGCCTCTGCCTCCCTACGTGCTCAGTGTCCTGCTTCCCCTTTGAAAGCCCCACCCCCAGGAGCCTTCACTACCCTACTCTCCCTTACGAGGCTTCTCCTCCTCACAGCCCCCCGCCCCGTCTTTCTGGCACACACACCTCCTCACTTCTTGGGTGCACGGGCACCTCCTCCCCTGCAGACCTGCTCTGCTCACCCTGCTGTCGCTGGGAGGACACGACATAGCTGACAAGAACAACGTCACTGGAGCCTCCAGACTCCAGAGGGATGGGGTGCACCCGGAAATGCTCGAGCATATCGAAAATGGACTGGAACCACAAGTGCTGGACCCGGCACTGACCCTCCTCGTTCAGCGACAGGCGCAGGTGCTGAGGGCAGGGCGAGCAAGGTGAAGCAGGAGCCCGCGCCCCTGCCCCTTCCAGAAGCCTCCTCCCCTGGACGGCCCAGTTCCCCCCGCCCCACTCGCAAGCTCTGGGCATGGAACACAGCCTTTCCCTCACTCACCTTGGCCTTGCCCTGGAAGTTGAAAGTGAGGACGTACTCGCCCCTCCTCGTCTCACTCTGCCGTACCAGGAAAACACCATGGGAGCCAGCACCTCCTGCCAGCACTAGCTGCGCGGCCTTGAGTCGAGAGAGCATCCCGTGGAACCAAGGGTACCCTGAGAGGGGCTGGTCCCCTTCACCTCCCTCTGACTCCCCCTGGAACAGGAATGATCCTTCAGGAAGGAGAGAGGGAGGGAAACCGGGGTGTCAGGGAAGCCTCCCCCGTCCTGGGAGAGAAGAAGCCTTGCTTTCCCTCCACCTGTCACTTCCTTTCCCCTGGGTCCGATCCCTCAGGATCCTGAGACCAGAGTTTCGGGAAGGCGGGCCACTGGGCCTGGAGGCAGACACATGCTCTCACCTCTGGTACCTGTGGCCGTTTCCGGAGTGTCCAGGGGTGGGTAGGGGGCTGAGAGGGGATGAACGGTGCCCGCTGGGGGCCCCTCTTCAATGGGGATGCGGGGGGGCAATTCTGGGGGAAGCAGTTCCATTGAGTCAAAATGGGAGGCAGCAATGGAGGCGGAACTGGGGGAGATGGACGCTGAGGGGCGGTCTGAAAGGCCCCCATAGGCCCCTGGAAAAAAAAAAAAGGGAGGAGGGCAGAGTTGAGAACTGGAGAGACTACCCTGTGTGTGCTGGCAGTCAGAGAGCTGAGGCGCCTGCCCCCTTCCTCGGCCAGGGGCCCGTTGGTCCGACCCACGACCCCTGACAGGCTCCAGGCACTGAGGGGCTGTGGAGTGACTGCAAGGACATCCTGGGCTCCAAATGTGCCCCTATTCTTTCTGAATCAGCTGAAATGATAGCAACTGTTGCAGGGGATGTGGACAGTCCCTCAAGGATTCTTATATTAAAAAGCATCCTTTTTTGGCCTACAGGACAAAGCCCCCAATGCTCAAAGGCATCAAAGACCCTCCTCCTATTAAGTGGCTCAAGTCAACCACCCCGACCACCTCAATTAGTCTGTATTCCCAGAGCCTCCGCGCTGGCCTGATCATCCTGTCCTGCTCTCCCAAAGCTCCTGGGCTCTCCCCACCTCACCATTTGCGTCCTCCAAGCCCTGTTCTTTTCTCTCACCTCCCCTGGGTGGAGCCTGTCTATCTCACCTTCCCCGATTCTCCTCCCCCTCTGAGCTCCCAAGGCGCTTCCTGCTTGTGCTGCTCAGAGGACCCCAGGCACAGGCTCTCCACTGCGGGGTCCTGCTTTTCAGAGGGAGTGATAGCTTGTCAACTCAGCTAGACTGGGAGCCCGCAGAGAGGGCAAGAAGTGCGTCTTGGGTGGCTTTGGGTTCCTCCATCCTGCCTCAGAACCTAGCACAGGGTCGGGAATGCACTCGGGCATTCCCGAATGTCTGCTGTGTGGCAGGCCTGAGCCCACAAGGATGGCGTAGCTACACGTGGGGTACACAGAGCAAACGCGGGGTAGGGAGCAGAGTGGCACAGTCCCGTTCTTTGTCAGGGACCGCTGAAAAGCCATTGCCCCTCCCTGGTCTTAGCTGCCTGAGGGGCCTGGAAATGAGGGGACTGGAGCCCATGACCTGTGAGGTCCATCCTAGCTCCAAGATCCTTCAGTCCATCTGTTTACTCGGTGAGTACGACCAGGGTGCCAAGCACCAAGAAATCGAAACTAGAACAGAGGAGCAGGAAAAACGGGATACTGGCATCTGGGAAGGTTAGCTGGGCCAGGTGGACGCATGTCTCTGGGCGTGCTGTGTGTGACTGGGCCTGTATATGTTAGCCAGGCCAAGAAGTAAAGAGTCAAAAACATCTAATAGCGGGCGCCTGGGTGGCTTAAAGCCTCTGCCTTTGGCTCAGGTCATGATCCCAGGGTCCTGGGATGGAGCCCCGCATCGGGCTCTCTGCTCAGTGGGGAGCCTGCTTCCCCTCCTTCTCTCTCTGCCTGCCTCTCTGCCTGCTTGTGATCTCTGTCAAATAAATAAATAAAAATCTTTAAAAAAACAAAGACCAAAAAATTTCAAAAAATTAAAAAAAAAAAAATCTAATAGCATACGTACATACGTACAGAGACTCAGAGTAAAAGCAAAACAAAGATGTGAACGAAGTGTTCCAGAAGCTTGGGGAAGAGAGCCGTTCTCTCCAGCCAGAATGGAGGTCTGCGCGAGGCTTACGGAAAAGGAGGAAAGGCCGGGCACAGAAGGCTGGGCGGGCATTGGCGTGGGGCTCGTGCACGGTGGGGACGGGGATGGTTCTGAGCGGCCGACTGTGGCGTGGCACGTTCTGGGACCAAAGTGAGACGTTCCGTGGGAAGGGGTGGGCAGCTGAAGGGCAGGGTGGGGGGCATGGCTGAAGTCGGGAGAGAGGGTCTGAGCATGGCGTGGGGGGCTCTGAGGTCCGCAGCCCTCCAAAGTTCCATCCTTACCCTGTGACAGGCGGTCATTGCTCTCACTGGCTCCCAGCAGCAGATCCTGGCTGGGCAGACTCTCTGAGTGATTCAGGCACGGTAGCTCCCGGCTGTCAGTGTTCTCCCTTGTAAGGAAGGAGGTCCCAGGGGCCAGGGGGAGGGTCATGGGGCGGGGACTGGTGGCAGGGCAGGGTCTGTGGAGGGGCGGGGGAAGGTGCTGTGAGGAAAGCAGGTGAACAGCCCAGGGCTGCTCCCCAGCCCCACCTGGTCCCCTCGGTGACAGCAGGCAGGCTCCTCACCCCGGACTCAGGCATTCCTGGATGTCAGACACCCAGGCCTTCACGTGTAAAGCATCGGCTGTCTCCAGGATATATTCCGAGGGGCCTTCCACCTACGAGGCCAAGAGGAAGCCCGCAGGCCACGTCCAGGTCCAGAGGCCGGAAGCCACCCCTGATGAGAACAAGAACATCCTCCCCCCTTCCCTCCTCCCAGGGGAGCTACAGCCCCAGGGACACACTCTCAAGGCCGTGGACCCACAGGCACCTGCTTCTGTGAGGTCCCTGGCTTCCACGTGCTCCAGGAGCTTCCTCCCCAGCACGAGCGCTCCCGGGGGAGGGGGGGTGGGCAGGAGCCCAGAGCCCCTACCTTAACCACAAACGTGTTCTCCCGGTCAGGCATCTCCAGGGCCGTGGTTGTCCGCACGTCCGTGATGGTAGAGCAGGGAATGCTGAGTCGAGGCCGAGACGCCTGGGTGGGGAAGGAGAACAAGATCCAAACTGCTGGTGAGCAGGGACCACCTGACACGGCCCTCCGGAGACGCAGCATCTTTCCTTCTATGCCCTGAGGGAGTCGGACCAAGGGTCACAACGCTACTTTTTCAATCCCACCCGAGAGTCAGGAGCTAGCTCTAAAAACCAAAGTGAGCACCGACACAGAACTAAAGCCAACCACACCAGAGCGAGCAAAGCTAAGCCCGGGGGTGTTCCACTCTGGTGGCTCGGTCGCCCGCTCCCGGTCGCCCACCCTCCTTGGGGCCTCACCTTGGGCGGCACAAAGAACTCCAGACGACTTCCTCCTCCTCCTTCTCCTTCACTTCGGAGCAGTAAGCGACACTTCTGCCACTGAGGCTGCCCTCCTCCCCCTGAGGTCGGCCCAGCTGCCCCTCCTCCCCGGCCTACTCCAGCTGGGTCAGGGGCTGCCTCTTCAGCCCCCATGAAACTCAGCAGCTCTTCCCTCTGCACCATCCCTGCTCCGTCCTTCAAGGCCCCCCCGCCCCGACTGAGTCTCAGCCGCTCAAATCGGTGAGTCCATCTGTCCCCAGGGGATGTTCCGTCACTAACCAGTCCCCTGCCAATGGTCCCGGCCCCCCCAGAGGAGTTGGAGTTGCTGTTTCCACCCAGGACTGGGGGGCCCGATGAGGTCTCGAGGGGCCCCGCTGGGGAGGGAGGGTCAACAGTCCCCCGCCACTGCAAGATGCCACGGACTGAACCGCGGACGGAGCGACCCACTGAGCGGAGGGAGAAGCGTTTCTTGAGCTTCGGCTTCGAGGAGGTCGTAGAAGAGGAAGAGACTGAGGAAGGGAGGGGGCCGGCCAGGTCCTCAGATGATCGAGAAGGGCCCAACACAGCCAGGGGCCCACCCACCCTGCAGCTCTCAAGGGACAGGTCATGTGGCGGGATCTCCACACCAGGACTCAGGGGAGCCAGGATGGGTGGCGAGAGGGAGCCGGAGGCCCGGGCCACCTCAGCTTCAAAGTGCTGCAGGAAGAGCTCAGCAAAACGGCGGGAGAAGGCAGCCTCAGCCCCCGGCCCTGCATACTGCGGGTGGGAGGCCAGGTAGAGGCGAAAACGGCGGGCAAAATCCAGGGCAGCAGCCCGGGCATGGGACTCGCAGAACTCCCGCCAACTAGGAGGAGGGGGTGGTGGCAAAGGGGGAGGAGAGGGGGAGGCCCCATCCTCTGGGGAAGGGGAACCATTCATGATGGTCCCCAGGAGGTGGAGAGGGGGAGCCTGTGGGGAGGGGCAGCAAAGAGGGAAGCGACCAGAAGACACGGGGTGAACGGCAGCAGCTGCAGAAGGAAGAGAGGCACATATACCGAGTCACTGCTGAGGTGGGACCGGGGGCCGAGCCCCACCCCCAGCCGGACTCCCCACTCTAGTCAGGACTCCTTGAAGAGCCATGGGGAACACCACACCACCCCGCCTTCCCTTTCCCAGATCCTCACGACCCACACGCCGTGGTCAGCACCTACCCTGCTGCCTTCCCAACCCCACTCCCCCTGGCTCTGGTTCCAGGAGTGACAGACGGCCAGCCGTGGAGCACTTTCCTCTAAAAAGGAACCTTTATCACTCACGCCACCTCCCTTCTCTAAAACAGGTCCTTCAAGATCTATCACATGCTTCCCATGTGCTGTTCTTACCTTTCCCTGCAACAGGCTTTAATAACCTTGACAATAGATGAGGAAACCGAAGCCCAGAACAGTTTCCGAACTCCAAGCCTACGGTTTTGCCCACTGCATAGCGCTCGTCCCCAGGGCCTGGCCTCAGGCACAGCCCCTCACTGCCCCAGCTCTCAGGGGAGCTAGGCCTGTAGTGCTTACAGACCCTGCCTCATGGGTCCTGAGGTCCAGCTCTGAGGAGGGAGGCTGCTCAGGAAGGAGGATGAATGGGTGATGGATTGAAACCGCACTTGTCCTGAAGGCAGACCCCAGGGCCCAGCACCCCTACACGATGTGACAGAGGCTCAGAATGGCCACAGTCCGATTCTTTGGGGACCCTTCAGCCTGGGGCCCAGAGGCAGCAGCACCAGGCGGGGAAAGTCTATGGGCTGGGTTAGAGCAAGTCTCTGTTGGCCACAAAATAAATAAAACATAACAGGGAGCTTTTTCACTTCCTCTTCTTTCACTGGGGAGTGTGCCCTAAAGGCTGGTTAGCCTGATGGTTAAGGCTATGGGATCTGGAGTCGGACTTGGGATGAAATCCCTGCTCTGCCACCTATTAGCTGGGTGATCTGGAACAGACTATATGTCCTCTCTGAAGTGCAGATTTGTAGCTATAAAACGGAGCTAATGATCCCTAACCCATAGAATCATTGCGAGAATTAAATGGAACATGTCAGGGCTCGACACAAAGTAAGCACACAATAAACCACCGCCATTAATACTATCTTTATGGGTTCCGATTCTTCTGAGAGAGCAATGAAAAAAGAGGAGGCTTCCCAAGATCTTACAACTAGCAAGTGGCAGAGCTGGGCATGACATTTACAACCCATGGCTCTTTTGTTAGTGTTCCTCCCCCATAGTATACTGGAAGATGACTGGCACCCGGACTGGGGAGGGGGATGGGGGAGAGGGCAGCTCAGGGAAGTCTCCCCAAACCTCAGACTCCTGCTCAGACTGACAATCAGCGACCCCTCCCCTTCCTCCCTGGCCTAGACCCTACACATTCAGATGGCTCCCACCGCAGGGACAATTCCAAACCAACGAGAAGAAGCCAAGAGATGCAAGAGTCATGGAACACAGGGGAACCGAGCCAAGAGGTGCAGACACAGCAGAGAGACCAATCTCCAGGCAGAGGCCACCTCGGCTCACACAGGCCCACCCAACCCTCTGCACCACAGGCAGACCCAGCCCCCTCCTGGCCCGCTGACCCTGCGGCTCCTGAGCTGGTGACTCAGTTTCTCTTCTGCCAAGCAGGACTCAGACACATTTTCCCGATGCACCTGCCTCTTGGCTCAGTTCTGAAATTTCCCGAAGGACGGGTGGTGGAGGGTGCAGGCTCCGCTCCCGGCTCGGACCCTCTGGGCCCGGTGGTCAATGCACTCCGACCCGACCCTACTCCCTGGACACCCTCGACCCGCCCATTCCCCCGGGCCAAAACCGCCTCGGGACCAGCCCGGTCGGCTGCACTCTGCGGGGCCGAGCACCCCTCCTGCCTCTGCCCCCCCTACGCCCGCCCCCACCCAGGGCTCCTCTCAGGCGCCGAGGCCGGGTCGCGAAGAGGGAAGAGGTACTTGAAGAGGGGGGTTCCGGTTCCGGTCCCACCTGCATCTCGGTCCCCGCGGTTTGCTCCGGCGGCGGCGGCAGCTCCCGCTCCCTGCCCCTCCCCCCGCACTCCGCGACTACCTCCCAGACCGTCTCTGCGCAGGCGCCGGGACCCCTTTTCCCGTCACCGAAGGAAGCGACCATAGAGAAGAGCGGCGAGAGGGAAGGGCGCCTACACACTCACTTCCGCCATCCTCCTAGTCCGTGCAAACCCTTGGAGCGCCCAGAGGCGGGGAGTCTCTGGGGGCTCAGGGGTTTCTCCGGTTGCACCTAAAAGAGACCGCAGAAACCACCGTGGCAAGGGGTTCCTCCAGGTGCCCTCCCGGAGAAAACCTGGCGAAGAGAAGCCCGCTTAGGGGATAGAGTCCCGAGGCCCCCCCGTTGTAGGCTAGAGTAGCCACCGGGTACCGGAAACCAGCGAGATGAGGAGGCCCTTTGCGGGGCCCGCCGCCGCCTAGAGCGCCTGGCCCTGCGGCCGTGGGGTTCGCGGGACACCGCCCCCAACGAGCCGCGCGAGGGAAGACGCGGATGACCTTGGTTGAGGCCCCGCGAAGAGGCGGAGCCTGAACTTACGACCTTGGCGTCTCAGCAAAGGGACTGGAGGTCTAGGAGGTTTCGTCTGAGACGGGAAATAAAGACAAGAGGGCAGAAATAAGGAGATCACTTTGGACGTGCCTGTGGGACGTCAGGGGGCAGGTGGACACACGGGTGGAGCTCAGTAAAGGCATCAAGGCCAGATACAGACATTGGGAATCGTTAAGGTATAGAGAGTCGTTGAAATCATTAGCACGATGAGATCAGTAAGGTCTGTCAGTGACCCAGCTCCAACCGCCCTAAGGAGTAGGGGAATCTTGGCTGAAGCAGTTGGAAAAAACGGATGGAGCTTTTTCAGGAACAGGTGAATAAAAAGCCAAAAGCTGTGAGGAACCTCTGGCTCACCTTCTCTAGCCTCTTCTTTCCCCATGCATTTGGCTTCACTTGCAGGTAGGCCCATCTCAGTGGCAAAGTGGCTCTCCATGGCGCCAAACTGAAGTCCTAACAGCTTAGAATTCAAGAAGGAACCTGCTTCTTTTCTGAGATTTGCAGTAAAATTTCCAGAACTGACCCCGGCTGGTTGGCTTCGAGCAAATACTCATCCTGGAACACTATTGACTGGAGATGGATAAATGCCCTGACTCACACAAGAACGTTTATTCAAGGCTGAGGCTGCCAGGTGGAGTTTGAAAACTTCATTGAGGAGGGCAAGTTCTGGCCTAGCCAGCCCTCCTCCCCACCTCTCCCCCTGTTCTAACCAATCTAAGATCGCTCACAGATGGCCTTTGTTAAGGTCTTCGTCAACATCTTTGTCCATCCATCTTCCCAGTTCCGGGGAAGATATACATGGAAAAGACTCTAATTCTGTGGTCCCCTCCCTCCTCCCTGAAGCCCTTACACACCCTTTCTCTGTAGTTTCTAGTTTCTGTAATTTCTGCCCACTGTTTCTAAGAGAGAGACACAGTGAGGACTATAGAAAGGCAACATTCTGGGGATGATGAGTTAGGTTTGGAAATGTGTCTAAGCTGTCCAATAAAACAGATGTTCTATATTGACACTATCCAGGGTGGTAGCCACTAGCTATAGGTAGCTCCTGGGCACTTGAAATGTGCTGGTGGACTAGGGATTTAAATTTTAATTAATTAAAATAGCCACATGTGGCTAGTGACTATTGTGTTAGTGCAGGGGTTGTCTGTGGACAGCTAGCTGGAGCTGTCCAGCAGAGAGAGCTGCAGTCTGAGCTGCATAAAACAGTTTGGGGATGATCAGAAGTGAGAATTGAAGCTACTGGTTGAAACCATGGACATGAACGAGATTGTCCAGGCAATTATCTGTAGAGGGAATAGGGCCCAGGACCTAATTCTAGAAAACAATCCACACTTATCAGGTAGGCAGCAAAAGAGGAGTAGAAAGTGCTGAGATGATGTCTTGGGTCAGTTTTCCCAGAAACAGACCTTGAGATGATATGTGTGCAAGTGACTTCGTCAAACAGTGCTACCAGAAGAAATCGGTAAGAGAGTGGGAGAAGCAGGAGAGGGAAGGAGAGAAAACCAAACAAACGAGTGATCTCAGGCAGAGAGAAGTTCAACTTGATCCTACAGGGGAGCTCTGGATGAAAGATATGTGTCAGATTTGCCGAGAAACAAGGGAGCGGAGCATTCCCTATACCTACAAGCCTTAGCTGTTCACCAAGCGACACTCCTGGAGATGTCAGTTCATCAAGGCAAAGCCTCCTGTAGTCTGAGGGCATCGCTCCAAACCAGAAAAAAAAAAAAATATCTGGACACTGCGTTGGAAGAGGAACCACACAACAAAGACAATGGGGTATGGGACTATAGAGCATGCGTGTGGGGGCACTTGGTCAGACACCTCACAAGCAAATGATTAAAAAGGGATCCATGGCATTGCCATTGTCTCCTGTTTAAAACATCGGTGACTGATGCTGTGGGGTCGCGAGTGGACATCAAAAAATAATTCTTGAGATGTTTTTGGTGCCAAGAAATGTGTTTATTGTTGCATGGCGACAAGACTCATGAGCAGAAAGAGCCTTAACTTTGCTGTATGAAGCTGGTGGTTATATGCATCGTGTTCAAAGTGGAGGGGACGTGCGGGGAATATTAGATCATAAATGTTTTCTTCGAATTTCTGCCTGTAAAACTGCTTTCGCAAGATTTCTCTGGTGCTTATCATTCAGTTGGATGTTAACTATTGGTGACACGTACAGACAGTCATGAGACGCTTTACAATGTAGCAGCCAGCACGTATTTGATCCTTATCAGAGCTATGCAGGCTTTAGGTCAGGACTTTCGTGAGAGTAGCCGTTTAAAGATTTTGTTAATTTGACAGAGACACAACGAGAGAGGGAACACAAGCAAGGGGAGTGGGAGAGGGAGAAGCAGGCTCCCTGCTGAGCAGGGAGCCCGATGCGGGGCTTGATGCCAGGACCCTGGGACCATGAACTGAGCCAAAAGCAGATGCTTAACCAGTTGAGCCACCCAGGCGCCCTATGGTGAGAATGATTTTAAGGAAGTGGTAGAAGGGGCGCCTGGGTGACTCAGTGAGTTAAAGCCTCTGCCTTCAGCTCGGGTCATGGTCCCAGGGTCCTGGGATCAAGCCCAGCATCAGGCTCTCTGCTCAGCAGGAGGCCTGCCTCCCTTCCTTTCTCTCTCTGCCTGCCTCTCTGCCTACTTGTGATCTCTGTCTGTCAGATAAATAAATAAAATCTTAAAAAAAAAATAAGGAAGTGGTAGAAGCAGAAGCCAAATGGTAGTGGGCTGAGGAATAAATGGAAGGTGAAGAAATGGGAGGAGGAGTATGGAGTGCTGGCCTGAGGGGAACCTGATCATGAGGAAAGTCTAAAGGGAAAGGAGCCAGTAGAGAGGATAGTATTTGAAGGAGTGATGTTTGGGGAAGGTGGGAATGGTAGGATCCAGGGCCCACATTAAGCCAAGGTATTAAC